GGCCCCCCACACATCTTTATTGCACTGTTACTATGTGCCTCACACTGCTTTTAGTGCTGTGAACAAACTAGCATGACATTTGAGTACGAACTTGAAATAAAAATGAGGACATGAGTCACGCTCTACAGCTATCTAAGGGAAGACAGTTTCAGGCCAAGGTAGCTGTAAGTGACACGGTCTGAGGTGGAGGCACATTCGATGTGCAATAAACAGAAGGCTGGTGAGAGGGAATGGAACTAATGAGTGAAAGAAGAATAGGATGTAAGGTCACAGGGGGACGGGCCGATCATTTAGGAACCTACAGGTCATGAGAAGGACGTTGAATTTTTCTCTGAGTAATAAAGAACCCATTGAATAGTGAAATCATTTTACTTGGTTTACTCGGAGGAAGATCCTGGCTGGGAGGGCAGGTAGTGAGTGCTGACTGGGAAGGGGCGTAGAAGACTATTAGAGACGGGTAAAATAGAGGCAGAGAGACCAATTATGAAGTTACTGTAGATGATAGATTTTTGGGAAAAATGGCAATGAAAGTGTAAATCGTATTTTTTTCTAGGCCATTGAAAGGAGGAAATCTTACAGTGCTGCTCAGAATAATTGGCCAAACATTTATGGATATTTATGGATAAACAGACATAGTTACATGCATGAGTGCTGAAGAATGTCAAGGAAGGACAAAAATAGATTGAGATGAGTATTATTATTAGCCAAAGCAAATCTTGAGTGTCTAGGGTGTTTCAGGCACTGTACAAGACTTTTACTTGTATTTATTTATTAATTTATTTATAAATGTTAATTTATTTCTTCTGAGAAAGGGGTAGCACCCACAGCGGCATCTTCATGTGCCATCCATTCCCAGCCTCAGCCAGCCAGGATCATGGGCTGTGCCTAGTGTGTACAGGGAGACCCTCGGACACAAACCAGGGACCTTCCCGTTGGCCTCAGAATCATAGAGTACTGGATTACTGCAGCACTAGTGCAGTGCAGCTGACCTGTACGAGCCTTTTACTGACATGAAATCATTTAATCTTGCAATAACACGATAAGGTACCATTAATTTCTACTTTTTATTTATTTATTTATTTTTGCTATAGGGTATATACACTCTCCAGCGAGATAGAGATAGAGAGACAGAAAGCAAGAAATCACCCCCAAGGGGGTGGCCATGGCACAATCCCTTCTCCTTCATTCCCCTCTCTGGATCTTGGGCATGAATGCACATGTGCCTGTAATGAGTTTTAAGCTTCTGGGTCCAGGACTTGAACCGCATTTGACTACGTGGGAATTCAGTGATGTAACCATTCTGCCATCTACTAATCCCAGTATCAACTCTTTACGAAAGAAATAACTGAGGGACAGAAAAGTTAAGTAGCCTCTTAAATCTTATACCATGAAACACAGTTGGGATGGTATTTAAAACTAAAATTTTCTGATGTAACCTAAATGATTTATTTAATGGAGTCAGATATTAAAGAAGAAATTCTTTTTTTTTTTTTAAAGAGAGAGAGATTCTTACTATAGGGCATGAGTGCTCATCAGAGAGAGAGAGACAGAGAAAGAGAAAGTGAATTATTGCCCTCCACCCTGGGGGGGATGGCCATGTCACAATCTCTTCTCTTCCATTCTCCTCTCGAGATTTTGGACAGCGTACACCTATGCCTGGTATGAGTTTCGAGCCTCTGGGTCTGGGACTTGAATCGTAGTCAGCCATTTGGGAGTCTAGTGCCTTAACCGCTACACCACATGCTGGCCCCAAGAAGAAATTCTTGATAACTAAATTTAGTTTAAAGATATACATGTGGAATGACGTGAAGTGGTTAAAAAACATCATATGGGACGTACAGTGACTTTGGCCAAATGAATGGATATGTATGTGTTGGTGGTGAAGAAGACAGTAGAAAGAAGTGAGGCAGATGAAGATGGTTAGAGAGAAGTAAGGCGTTGCAGTCCTTAACAGCTAAGTGGAAGGCCAGCCAAGTAGATGTGGTGGTTAGGGAGACTGGATCCCACATGCCTGACTTTGTGGTTCAAGTCCTGGACCTGGCAGCTTGAAAAACATGCCAGGCACAATTATGTGCATATCCGACATCCTGAGAAGGCAGTGGAGGAAAAGGGATTGCAATGTGGTCATCAACCCTGAGGATGCTTTCTCACCTTGCCCTGCTTCTGACAAACTCAACACCCTATAGCAAATTACAATAAAAAGAAAAGGCTAAGTGGAACGTTTGAAATATAGTATTTCAGAGGCAGAGAGCCATTACTAGTTTTCAAAGATAGTCACAACAGGAAAACATCATTTCATGGGGCTCAAAAGTGGAGTATACTGTAATAGTTCACTACAGCATAATGTCGTGGATAAAAGTGCAGATGCAGAAAGCAGGCATGCAAGTCTCGGGGTAGTTGCTTACCAGCTGTGTGATTTTGGGCAAATAAAGTAAACCACAATTGTTTCCACTGTAAAATAGAATTAACAATAATAATAACTACTGCATAGGATTCTTATGAGGATTAGATGGTTAACTTCTTTGAAGTACTTGGGACAATTCCTATACATGACCAGAGTTTAATAAGTGGTAGGGGCCAGCAGCTGGCATAGCAATTACAGAGGACTCCCACATGGCTGACCACAGTTTGAGTCACAGACCCAGTAACTTGAACATCACACTGGGTGCATATGCATACATACCCAAAATCCCAGGAGGAGAAGGGATTGTAGCATGGGCCATCCCCAAGGAGGATTTCTCACTTTTCCTCTCTATCTCTGTCTGTCTCCCCCTGGCAAGCACACATGCCCTAAGGCTAAAGCCTCTAAATTTATAAATATACACATACACACACACACACACACACAGAGTAGTTGTTCTTCTCACAAGCATGTGTAAAGGACAGACTGCCACAGACATGCACACTTTCAGTCTTAGGAGAGTAGATAGACAAGTTGGTGAATGATTACATAGGGTGGAGGATAGGAAGGAGCAGGTTATGAGGAAGCACACTTCAGAAAGGAAAAACAGTTGCCTGAATGAAGGCATGTGAGTGATGATTGATGGGAGCTGGTTGGTTTGATAAGAAATTAAGGAATTTAAGGAGAAACCATTAAGTTCAGCTTGCCAGGAGTGGTAGGCAGTAATGCCAGACAGTGTCATTATTCAAGTCAAGGACTAGGACATGAAAATAGCAATAGCTAGAACTATATGTCATTTCAAGTCTACCATATTTTATATCCATACTTTCATGTCAGTGGAGCAAAGAAATTGACTTCTGAAGTGGTAGAGCCTTATTTAAAAATCTTTGTGGTATTCTGATCCTTAAGTAACATATGTCCTTGATAGAAATCTTCACTTGAAGCACAAGATTATAGAAAGCGTGTAAGTAATCATCCTTTTTTTTTTTTGAGAGAGAGATTTTTGCTATAGGGTGTGCATGCTTGCCAGACAGACAGAGAGAGACAGAGAGACAGAAAGCAGGAAATCACCCCCCAGGGGGGATGGCCACGCCACAATCCCCTCTCCTTCATTCTCCTCTCGGGATCTTGGGCATGCATGCACACGCGCCCGGCGTGAATTTAAGTCGCCAGGTCCAGGACTCGAACCACAGTCGACTACGTGGGAGTCCAGTGACATAGCCATTATGCTAACTGCTGGCCCCAGTAATCATCCATTTTTATATCTTTTACAGTTTTAGGGAAGATTTAAGGCCATCTACAAGAATATATAAAATAGAACAAAATCACATTAACTAATGTTGAATAAAAGAATAAAGTAAAACAAAGTGAAAACAGTAGAGGCACAAATAAGATGAGAATCCATGTGCTAAAGATTTAAACTAATGCATTTGCCCCAGGTGGAGCAGAGGGTTGGCACAAGCCTTCGAGCAGTGATCCAATGCTATACACAGGCACATCCAATTAGACCATTAGAGAAAATTACCCTGCTAGAAATAGAAAGTCTTAATTGACAATAAAGAAAAAAATAACTTGATTGTGTGACTGAGAAAACAATATATCAATGTAAGGGAAATTTGGAGTAAAGGATAGAAAGAAAATGATGGTTTTGAAATATGAGGGTATTGTTGTTTTTCTTTTACAATGCGAATATTCTTATACTCTGCAGAAAAAAACTAAAAGACTTTTCTTCAAGTTTTGTGTGAGCTGAGAGGCAACATGTATAATTGAGAAAATGCTAGAGATTACAAAAACAGCAACTTCCCCTTTATAAGAAGTATGAAAAGCTCTGGTGTGAACCCTACAAATCTGAATTGTGAAGATGACACTTCTACTCAGTTTGAAGAAAATGGTGGACAAGGAAAAATGTTTGTTAGTAAATATGAAAAAACACAACTAATGTGCTAAAATAGTTTGCTTTAAAATGTAGGAATTCTGAAAACATAGGGGAAAACATGGGCATTGATCTGAAGGCCAAAGTTTAAAATATACTATTACACATTTTAAAATACCATTCCTATCTGAAATGCCCACCTCTATTTACATAGTCACAAATCTTTTTTCTTTTCTTCCCTTTATCACCACGTAGAAGGTGAACAGATATACCTCAGAAACTGCCATACATACTGAATGAAGGAATGCAACTGCAGAAAAATGTTTTCCTAGCCTTTTAAAAGGTACTACTAGGAGGAGAACTTTAATTACAGAATAGGAGAGGTCAGAAAGTTCTTTTATGAATTGCATTTGATAAGATGCCAGAGAAAGTTCCCCTTCATTACTCTAGCCCGAGGGAGTCAATTGTACTATATCAAGATACATATACGTTTATGTTGTGGAAACTTTAAATGAACATGTAGAGACAAGTCTCTATAAATGTTCAATGTCCCCGATGATTCACCTGATGTTCAGTTCTCTACTTGCCCTTTTGTAGAGAGGAGGCAAAAGCCAGGACATTCCTCCTGGAAATCCAAGCTGTTTCGTAAGCTCTCACAGTAATTGAACAGGAGGGGGCCAGGAGCAGTCCGGAGCGGCCAGGCTGATTGGCTGAGCAGGGCAGCGACGGGCTGTGTGCGGGCTACGACACCCCTGCGGTCCCTTCACGGCAGGAAGTCCGTGCTCCAGCATTCGAGCAGCGGCTCTTCGGAGCGCAATAAGCTCAGACGACTGTTGGTATCCGCTGCGTCTTTCCACTGAGGTCGGTGCTGCTTCTGACAAGATCCTACGTGTTGGTGGACGTTCCCAGAGAAAACCCAAAGTAAGGGGGTCGAGAAGCCGGGGCCAAGAAGAAGGGCAGTTCCCTGGAACGGTCGAGCTCTCCAATTTCCTGGGCTTGGTCCCCATTCGAGAAGGGCTACCTGGGAGGTTGGGGGGTGGAGGAGGAGAGTGTAGAAGGTTTTTCCTGGCAAGTCCTTGGGACCAAGTGGGTGAGACCTGGGTTTCCGAGCTCCCCGGGCATCGCCCGGCCCGCAGCTTTTGGCGCAATCCACGCGCAGCGAGCGCTGTGCTGTGTGCGGAGCCCCGAACGCTCAGAGTCCGGGCTTGATCTGGTCTCAGCCCTCAGGTGTGTGGATGGAGGAAGCGTCTTCCGCGGTGAGGGGTGAACCGCGGGGCGGGCGGGCGAAGTCCTGAACGCAGGGTCACCTTCCCGCCGCGCCCGCGCGAGGAGGCTGGAGGCCCCGCACACGCGGAGCTCCGGCGCTGCGGGGAGCGTCAGGGCCAGCCCGGGTCCCGCGGACCGTGCCTTGGGCTGACTGGGCTGTACTTTCTCTTTAGGTCGCGATGGAACTTGAAGGGGACCGCAATGGAAAAGCAGGGGAGACCTTCTTGAAGCCGGACACAGCAAGGTAGTCGCTTGTTTTCCTTTCTTAGTTTACATGGCTTGGGAAATGTGCGCAATTTCTTTCCAGGCTCCAGCTCCAAAATAAATGAAGGGTTGCTGTTACTATTATTAGTTTAATCCTGAGAAACGCCGGCCGGTCTTGGGAAAGAGGTCCTCTGCTGAAAGCAGAAGTTCATTGGCTGAGTTGAGCACAACATTCACATCCTCCCGTGGTCTCTGAGAGGAGCTCTCTCAGCTTTGGGGTCCCAGAGAGGCCAAAGCTCACATCCTTTCCTGTTTTATAACCCTCTGCTTCACACGCGATGTTGGCCGCCCACGTGCAGGACCCATAACCTGCTCCTGCTCGGGGTTTGCTCTGTGGTCCAGTCTCTTGCTGGAGAACAGCTACATAAGCATTGAGTGTGTGTGCATGACAAATGAAACAGAAGGCCAAAACTACATCTAGGTTGCTTTGTTTTATTTTAACTGTCAACGAGTATCTGTATGTCAAAGTTGTAATTTAGCCACATAGGGAAAATAATTATTTTAAGAAAATTTTGATTATAGGCTCTGCCTGTACAGGAAACTTTAAACTTTGTAGATTTATAGTTAGTGATAACTTGTAAATTGTAAACACTATTAGAAACCAAGCTTCTCAGTGTAAGAGAAAAACATACAAATGTTAAAATCAAGTAAGGATTTAAAAATAATTTAAGGTTCGAATTAGAAACGTCAGTAGGAACTGATTTTTTTTTAAATCGTACATTTTCAGTCCACCGAATTGGACAGTAGTAATGAGCACTCTCAGTGCCAGATCTTCATGTCTAAATATTACTCTGAGTAGACTAAGCACCCCATAGAAAAGTAGTTCATTTCGGCCAGGTCTGGGGCAGAGAAAATGCAGAGCGACTATGGGCTATCTGTTGGTACCGGAAAACAAGCAAGTGGAGTTTAGTGCAGTGCAGTATTGAAAGGACATGAGAGCTGGTTTGATCTGGCCAAGTCTGAAACAATTTGAGCTTTAATAAGTTCATAACTGTCGTCGATTTTGAGATACTGAATACAATATAGCCAATGAATCCTAATATTCTGAGAGCAGGAGGAAAACCGAAATGGGTGTGAAAGGTAGAGAAAATAAAGGAATGTTCTTTATAGAAAAATTCTAGCTATCATTTTGGAAACTGCATTATGATAATAGATTTAGACAAATGTCAATAGATCCTAAACCATTCAGAGAAAAGTTACATCTAAAAATTATCTTCAAAGTTCATATTGATTGGAAGAAGGAAAATGCAGTTTTCCAGGGAGATATTTTGTGGTTAGCACCTTAATCAAGCAATCAGACCTGGCATCACTCTAGGTTGGATAGGTCATCTTAAGTAAGCCTTTGTGTGATTAAATTTGAGTATACACTACCTAGGAGTTTATTCACAAAACATTTAGTCCAGATCCAATCAAACTTCTACACTAGTGTAGCCTGATAGAAATATGAAAGGTTACATTTATAATTTAATAATTCCAAGTAACAACATTAAAAAAACATAATAATTTTGAAGAGATATTTTATAGAACTCATAATTTCTAAATTCCTAAAAAAAAAAAAGTCAACGTCAAAAATGAAAAGGGGAAGACATCTAGATTAAGAGAGACTAAAGAGACTTAACTACCGACTATTACATGTGAACATTGATTAGATAAGAGTTCATAAAAGGAAACAAAATCTATAGGAAATGTTCTTGGGAAATTTGAATGCAGATTGGATATTAGGTGGTATCATAATTACTGTTAATTTTCTTAGATGTGATCATGGCAGAAGAATGTGTGATTGCCATGATACTTGCAACTAACTTTTAAATGGTTCATTATACAAGAAAATAAGGTCAAAATGTTAACAATGATTGAATCTAGGTCAATTATATGCTTAGTTATATGGTTCTTTCAATTTTTCTGTTTAGTTAAAAATTTTAAAGTAAAACTTTTTCATACATACAAAGAAAAAGACTCCAGAATAGAGGGTAGACATTTCACTTTTCTGGTTTTAATTTTTTTTAAATTGGCAGCTTAAAGAACTATGTACTTTCACTGCTTGAACTAACCCGAATATAGCTGTGCTCTATAGATGCATCTCCCTTATGCCAGCCAATTAGAATGCACTGATGTGTGTCCTCAGACATAACTAAAGGATTATGAACAGATTGTTACATTGCTTTCCTGGGAAAACTTTTCCCTGAAGGCTGAAATACCAAGCAGTTGCAGATTGGAGAAGTGTCTTTACTCCAGTGCTTTAGAACATTATAACCTGGGCATAGCATTCTCATTTTATTGTTTTTGGAAAACCCACCAAAAATTATTTTGGGAGACAATATGGACCTGAAAGTTAGAAGACCTGAATTCTAGTTTGCTATGTCATTTTTAACAATTTGCTTCATCTCTCTGGACCTCCATTGACTGACTTGTTTTTTTTTTTTTTTGGAGAGCTTTTCGCTATAGGGCGTGTGCACTCACCAGACAGACAGAGAGAGACATAGAGACAGAAAGCGAGAAATCACCCCCCAGGGGGGATGGTCACGCCGCAATCCCTTCTCCTCCATTCTCCTCTCGGGATCTTGGGCATGCACGCATATGCGCCCGGCGTGAGTTTTAAGCCACCGGGTCCGGTACGCGAACCACGGTCGACTATGTGGGAGTCCAGCGACATAGTCATTACGCTAACTGCTGGTTCCCATCCATTGACTGACTTGTAAAGAAGGGCATTAGATCGGGAATTGAACATACATTTTCTCTTTAATCTACTCTTCTATTAACCAACTAACTGGACTTCTTCCTTCCTATCCGAATTTCCATGTAATGATCAGTGCACAAAATCAGGGATTAGAGAAAGATGCCTTTAGTTCTCTATGACAAAAGATATGTATTTATAATCAATTAGGTATATTCAAATAAGAAGAATTAAGGATATGTAGAGAGAAATGGTCAAGAAAATTGATGGCGTACACATCTTCCTTTTATTATTGGTTCTGCGATGGCCTACTGACTTTTTCTCCCCCAAGCTGTATATTATTTCTTAGTTTAGTTCTTATTAAATTGCACTCATTAAACTGTACTTATTAAACTGTACTCATCACTATAGACTTAGTCTGTTCTTAACAAAATTATGTATTTTAACATGGGATTATAAAGAAGCATAGAGCTTTGCTAATAGATAACACTGGGGTAATATCTATATTTGTAAAGATTCTTCATTATAATGATGCTTGATGGGCCACTTTCCTTTGTAGGCATTGTGTTTCGTGCTGATAGGGGTAAATGAGTAATCTAGAAGGGGTAAGAGTTCATGTGAAAGTTCATTTCCGTGCGATGTCATACATATCTCAGAAGACGGAGGTTGCGCCTCACAGTTTAGTGGTCAGGGAGCAGACTTTGCAGTTTAAATCTTGGCCTTGGTCCAGCTGTGGGACCTTGGATGAGTTGGTTAATTCTTACTGCTCTTCTGCAATTTTCTCATCTATAAAAAGAGGACAGAAATGTGCCTTTTTCATAGAGTTGTTCAGAAATCGTAAGGGGAAGTGCTTACTTTGCCAGCACCTAGAACACTGTAAGTTCTCCCGTTTTAGAGACTGACAATAAAGAAATAAATAAAAAAGCTTTGAGCTAAAAGTGAACTATTTGTGGTGTTTTTCTCCTCTCATCCTGGTTCCAGGGATACTGAAACCATTTCTTTACTGGAAATAGGGTGGGACCAAACATGAAGAATTATGTTTGTGTATTTTGTGTTTTTGTGTCCTTGTCTAACATTATTCCAAAGCCAAATACGGACAAACTCGATTTTTTTTTCTTCAGAAGTCTCTTTACCTCTTTTGACCTCACCTAGTATAAAGAACAAAGACAAAGATGAATTTACTTTTTGAACTTAAAATTCTATGCAAAAATAACGGAATTTTTTTCTAAAATAGTCTTTATTTTATGCATACGAGGTCAGTTATGGTTGGTTTGCTTTCATGTCTAGGGTGACAGTTACATATTATGGATAATAGAGGTTACACAGTTAGATTCATTTGAATCTAGGGTGAGAATGAGAGTTGGCTTTATGTCCAAGGCCAACTTTTGATAGTTTACAGGACATCTTTTTTTTAAACCATAGCTTTTCTTAATTGTATTTGTTTCCATAATGGTCCATGTAGGGCTCCAGACATGCTTTCCGAATTAGATTTGCCCATAGAGAGTGATTTAATTATGTGTCTTCTCTGGCTGATTATGCCTGGCATCTGATTGTTACTAATGTCCACTAGGAAAGGGAATGATTAAGAATAATATCTAGGTAGTAGACAGATAGAATATCTACTATTAGTATTAGTCAGATGATAATTAAGGGAATTAACTCCAGAGAACGTGAATATTTTTCTAAAGATAAAAATAGGAAACACCCTTTTTTGTCTATTTTCTAAATGCAGAAATGTGTGTGTGTGTGTGTGCATATTTATCATAAAATTTGGAAATAACAAAGACCCAAGAAAACATTTTTATAGAAATTCCATTACTCAGTGATAACCGTATAGATAGATTTCTAAGATACATCTAACCACTTATATTTAAACTTCATAAGTGATATCATGTTATTGTTAATGTGCTTTTTATTGAATGTTAGTGACATGCTTCTTTAATATTGATATCATATAATGATATTCATCGTTAAATATAAGCTCCATATTAATTTAGTAATTTTAAACATTTGTATAATTTTTACAAGTCTTATGTAATTTTGTTGCTATGTTTTTCAGTAAAAAAGATAAGAAGAAGGAAAAGAAACCAACTGTCAGTGTATTTGCAATGGTGAGTTTTGAATTTATTTACATTTCAGAATACTTAGGAAATCTGACATATCCTTATACAGAAAAGAGAGATTTCAGGACCAGCAGTTAGCGTAATGGCTGTGTTGCTGAACTCCCATGTAGCCGACTGTGATTCGAGTCCCGGACCTGGTGGCTTAAAAGTCATGCCGGGTGTGTGTGCGTGCGTGCCCAAGATCTCGAGAGGAGAATGGAGGAGAAGGGAATGTGGCGTGGCCATCGCCCCTGGGGGGTGATTTCTTGCTTTCTGTTTCTCTCTGTGTTTCTGGTGAGCGCACACGCCCTATAGCAAAAAACAAACCATATACTGAACATTTTTTTAAGTAGGAGCAGGAATAGATCTTAGTAAAATGAGTCTTAGTAAATTTGATATAAAAATAGTTGTAGGTAGGGAAAAAACAGTCACACAACTTGAAAAAAAGATCAATTACTTTATTTAAATATGACCAGAAAGGCAGAGAGAGAGACTTAGGGAAAGTGAGAAAGTAAGATAGAAGATTCAGGACGCAAACCACAGTTGGCCATGTAGGAGTCCAGTGCCTTAACCACCACACCACTTACCAGCCTGGTCACATGACTTTTATACTGAGGACTCTGGTTGTTTTATGTGATCTTCATCTTGTGCTGCAATTGCTCTTGCTACATAGCTCCTCTTGTCTCTATTCTCTTCGTTACTTGGGGGATTTTGAATTTGAATGTGAGTTAATAACATGCACATAGCACTGTCAACCAGGCACTGTTTTAAGTAACTTCCATACAGACTTAATTCTTAACGACTTTTTTGAGGTAGATGCTGTGATATTCCAGATGAAGAAACTGAGCCAGAGGATACTAGGTATATACTATTGTATATTCAAAAAAGTTATGGTGAATTTTTGCAAAGAAAAAAATGTCATAACTTTTCCAGCAACCCAATATATAGATGACTTTTCTTCTTGTATTTTTCCTAAATAGTTGATATAGAACCTAACTTGTATATAAAACCTATAAACTCAAGGATGTAATCCCCAAGTTGAATGTAAAGTACTGATGTTAATAAGTTTCCAGTAAGACAAACTCACATCTCTGTTGGATTTTCCAATGTTTAGTGCTTTCTCTGTACTTCTGCATTTGCTAAGCACCCCACATGGATTATGTGCCTTAATCCTGACAAGAACCCAGTGATGTAGGAATCTGTGTTATCCTTATGTTTCAGATGAATAAATAGACTCAGAAAAGTTAATTAATGCATTCAGAAATTACAGAGTCACGTAGCTAGTGGGGCGGGAGGGGGAGATGTAGTTGTTTTTTACTGCCCAAACTAGGCGCTTATGATCGGTCATGTTGTTATCTACCTGGGATTGAAGTGCTCTTTGTTGATGCTGTTATCTTCTGACCTTCTGACCAGCTGGTGATTGAAGACTTTGCCACCTGGTTCAGTCATCTATCTCCCTTCCCACTCCTGGCTCTCCTACCAACTTCAGTGACTTTTATGATTATTTGGATAACCACACCTTAACCTTCAGAGCTGCAATAATTTTATAAAAATATCTGGATCTAGGTCTGTTCCCTTCTTTCTTGTTGTAACAGAGGAAGGATCTGGTTCTTAAAACTAATCACCCACTTGTATTATGGCTCCCATTCCTCTGCCTCCTCAAGGACCTGATGTTATTATTGTCATTTATTCTCTTTACTACCTTCAGCCTCTCCCTCTCTGCGGAGTCTGTTTCATTGGCATCAGCAAATCAAGTCTCTTATTTTGTTTTTGTTTTTGGAGAGGTTTTTGCTATAGGGCATTTGCACTCGCCAGAAATACAGGGCGAGACAGACAGAAAATGAGAAATCACCCCTAGTACCTCTCTGTAATTAGGGGGGGGATGGCCATGCTGTAATCCCTTCTCCTCCATTCTCCTCTCAGGATCTTGGGCACACACGCACATGTGTCCAGCTTGAGTCTAAGCCACCAGGTCTGGGACTTGAACCACGGTCAACTACATGGGAGTCCAGTGACATAGCCATTACGCCAACTGCTGGTCCCTCGAGTCTCTTATTTTACTAATGCCTTTCTTTGAGTTATCCTCCTCTAATTCCCTTCACACATAAGAGCTGCCTTTGGGGCCAGCAGGTAGTATGGTGGTTAAGGTGCTGGATTCACACATTGCCAACTGCAGTTTGAGTCCTGGACCTGGGTGGCTTGCTTCCTCACTTTGTCTCTCTCTCTCTCTTGTGAATGCACATGCCCTATAGCAAATTAAAATAATAATAATGAGTAAATAAAATTGAATAAATAAATCTTATTTTAGAAAAAAAAGAGTTCCCTTTGTTTTCTGTTTTGGTTTCACCTTCTAATTCGTTCTCAGTCTGTATTAATTTGACTTCTGTCCTTCCCACTCTCTCCATTCGGTGCGTATTTTAAAATTCTATCTTATTTTGACCGCTCAACAGCACTTGACACTGTCCATTATATTCTTTCTTTCGTTTGCTTCTGTGCTGTCCCAGTCTGCTGATATTTTTCTCAGCTCTTTGACTTTTTCTTCTATAACCTTTACCTGTGAAGTTATAGTGCCTCAAGCCCTGTTCCCAAAAGTTTGTTTGTCGGTATTGACATGCCTCCAGTTCCACACAGCCATTTCCAGTTTTCTTCTTGAGACTCATGCAAAACTCCTTTCTCCTTTGAGTTTCACTCTATGTCATTATACTATCTTCTGTCTACCTTCAGTAGTACCCCCTACCCATTTCTTTCTTTCTCTCTTTTTTTTTTGTTTGTTTTTGTTTTGAATCTTCTAAACTGTATTTGGAATCTTCTAAACTGTATTTGGAATTAATCAGAAATTTGGAACAGACAAAAATCTTTTTAGAGATAAGGCCCTATGCACAGAGTCTGTCTCACCGTGAAAGTTTTACGTAAACCATACCAAACAGAATCAAACTAATGAATGATCTTTGGCACTAATGGGTGATAATTCCTTAGCTGTTCATGCTATATCCAAATTGCACACCACATTAGATTGCTGATTAACAGTTACATTTTACATTGACATTGTCACTTCGCTAATATGCTTTCAAGATTGAAGACCCATTTCTTTTCAAAAAATATTTATTAATTTTATTTTTTATTATTATTATTTTTTTAATTTGATCAGAGAGGCAGAAAGAGAGAGAGAAAGGGAAAGTGAGAAAGCAAGCCACCAGGTCGAGGACTTGAACCAAATTTCCCTCACCAGTGAAGACACTGGTCAGATCATGGTTGCCATCTAGCCTGTGAGTGTTTGTTTTTGTTTTTGTTTTTTTTGGAGAGGTTTTTGCTATAGGGCACATGTGCTCACCAGAAAGAGAGAGATAGTGACAGAAAGCAAGAAATCATCTCCCAGGGGGTATGGCCACGCCACAATCCCTTCTCCTCCATTCTCCTCTCGGGATCTTGGGCACACATGACCACGTGCCTGGTGTGAATTTAAGCCACTGGGTCCGGGATTTGAACTATGGTCGAATATATGGGAGTCCAGTTATACAGCCATTACGTCAACTGCTGGTCCCGTGCTGAGTGTTTTTTAAACCACTCTCCTGCTAACTTCTACTTCTTTGCTCAACTTTGACTTTTAGCACTCATCAGCCTTCTTTTTATGTGGTTTTGGTTCACCTGCTATCCCTTTCCTGTCAACATCAAACATTTTTCATTTCCTGTTCTTGAAACAGGGCTCCCAATATAATTAGTTTATAATTCTGTCTTATATTTTGCCTGAAATGTTTTAACTTTCCTTTTGTCTTCTGGTTACTTGACTATAAAGCCTGAAAAGTTTTATTACTTCCAAAACCATTAACAGTATTTCTTTATGCACTATATTTTTACATATAAGAGTAATCAAAGTTTCTTGTATTTATCTTCTTAGCAACTATGCATATGAATAATTTCATTATTTTATAAATGTAGAAACTGAGGCCAAAGGTTACTAAGACATTTTTGCCCTCCCAGTCTCCCTTCTAATAATCTACAGAGCCAGGACATTTGACGGAGGCTTACTTTCTTTCTAAGGTTTTTACCATAGGGTACATATGCTTACCAGAGGGAGACAGAGAGATACAGTGAGAGGGAAAGTGAGAAATTACCGTTCAGGGAGGATGGCCACACCACAGTCCCTTCTCTGTCATTCTCGTCCTGGGATTTTGGGCATGCACACACACATGCCCAGTGTGATTTTCAAGCCATCAGGTCAGGACTCAGACTGCAGTCAGCCATGTGGTAGCCCAGTGCCTTAACCACTATGCCACTTGCTGACCCCTGGAATGAGGCCTTTATCCTATTCAACATTATGTTATCAATTTCTGTAAATCTTATTTTCACCCCTTTCTTTCAATAAATCAGTACTGCTTCATGTCACAAGGAGTATGAGATTCTGAACTCTTCTCAACTTTCTGTATTCCTGGAAACTCATCTGTACCTGTGCTCGCTCTTGTCTCATTTCTTCTAGTCCGAGATGAAGAAACATACTTTTGTCTGAGAAATAGCCTATCTTAACTGAGTATTATTATGAAAAATTTCAAACATATAAAAAGGAAGAATAGTAAAATTCACACTATATGAACGTCATCTAATCAGTTGTTAACACTGTCACATGTTTTACCTGTAATTATAGATTTCATGATATTTCATACATAACTAACCTGAGTAACCCTCAAAACGTTTCCTACAAAACATCTTCCTTTAAAAACCTAATACAACAATCATGTTTAACAAAATAAATGATCATTCCTTAATATTATGCCCAGTTCATATTCACATTTTTTCCAGTTATCTCTAAAAAATTCATGATAATTGATTTGTTCAAATCAAGATCCAAAAAATAATGGCATTAGGATATTATGTCTCCTACATTTATAATAGTTTTCTCCTCTTTTAAAATGACATTGTCATATTAAAAAGATTATCGGTGTCCAGTATAATGTTCCACCTTCTAGACGGATTTGATTGCTTCCTTTTGTCATTTAATTTGTTCTTCCCTGCTTTGTATTTCTTGTATGCTGAAAGTTAGTTCTAAAGGTTTGTTACATTCAGGCTGAGCTTTTTTGGTAAGAAAACTGTATAGGGAATGCTGTATATGTCATGCCTTATCACATCTAGAAAACTCACATGTCAGGGTATTCCAGTTTTGTTTTTATTTTATGACAGAATCCTGGAGCTTCATGGGAATACCTTGTTTCACCTACTGTTTATAGTATCCTCTGATAATCCCTTGCCTCACGTTCTTGTTGCCTTCATTTTCCAGAGCATTGTTTCATCTCGGTTTATTTCCTGTATTTTCACCAATTGTATCATGGACTGATTTACCTATAAACACAGGACTTCATTAAATAGTTTTTCCTTGACATTGCAGCCCTGTCTTTTCTTCCTTTTGTCCCAAGATCATCAAAAGGCTAGTCAACATGCTATCTCTATTGTTTCATCTCCAAATTATTCTTAATCCTGTGCACTGTGTATTTCATCCTGAATGGTGATTTCTATCAATTCCTGTGACTTTTGCTTTTATATACTAAAGCCAGCAAACTGTGCCTCAGACTAAATTCTCTTCAGGTACTTCCTGGAAAGCACTTCCAAGATGAGCCTTCAGATAGGACTGAACGAGACCCCTCTGTTCTCCTTTCTTTCTTCTTCTGGTTTGCCCCAGCTCAGTGAAGAGTAAGTACCTTTTGGTCAGTCAGCTTTTGCTTACTGCTTTCACAGGTCACACTACAGACTGTAGGAACTACAATGTTCTTTACCATATTGTGATCTTTCCTACCTTTCCTTATTGTTCTTGTTGGAATGCCTTCCTTCTTGCTTCTAAATCCTTGCTCAACTTTCAAAATCTGAGAGTAAACATCACCTCCTCTATGAAGCTTTTCTACCAAGGAGGGAATGACCATTTGCTAATTTGGTAGTGATTCTGTGGTCTGTGTCATCAACACATACAGAGTATATAATACATACACTTGTTTCTTGCTTTGCTTTCCTCCTTCTCTTTAAACTTTCTGATTACATTTTGGTGTTTAGCGCTGGCTTTTATCTGCCAGCGAGTAAGCATTCAATAAATGTTTACATTCATGGCCTACTTGTTTTTATTATGACCAGTAATTAGTTCTGGAGGGAACATGTCCTTTGTTGGTAGTGAAGAGCGAAATCTTTGCACTTGATACTTTTTCCACTTTAATAAAGACTCTAAGAGAAGATAGTTTCTGCCCATCTCTTCCCCTTCATTGGTGTGTGTATGTGTATTATTAATTTTGCCAGAGGGCATGTACACTCACTGGAGAGAGAGAGGTTTTAATTCGTAAACAGGAAGATGTTTCCAGGTTATGGGAAGTTATGTCATCAATGAAAACTAAAGCTCACTTGATTACATTTTTATAAGCTAATTTTAATACAAGTACCTAATATTTATTAGGTGTTTTTATTACACCAGATTTTAACTTTCATTTCATAACTTTTCTGCTTTTTCTCTCTAGCTTCCTAAACTGCCAAGAGCCATCCTACTCTTGTCAGTCCTCCACTTGTCAGTTCCACTTACTAGTGCTGTAAGTTCCCTGTTAACTAACTTTAGAATCAATTTCTGCCTTCTTATGAAGTATCTTTAAGTTCTAAAGTCTTGCTTTCTGCTGCTGTGTCTTTTATGTTGTCTCATCTCTCATCTTTTTATGGTTTATATTTCCTGCCTAGCCCCATTTCCTCTCTGAATTTCAAACCTACTGTCCACAGCTACCTTCATGGTGCCATCATGGCAACCACCTACCTTGGGAATATTAACAGATTCTCACAGTTGGCTTCATCCTGTTTCTAGTTTTGTTTTCTCTCATTTGGTATTCTTTCCAGCTTACTTTGTTTCTTGAGTGATACAGGAGAACTGTTCATGGCTTCCCAGGTGGGCCCTGAGCCCATTTCTCTAAACGTTCCTCTTCCCGCCACTTTTAGGATCCAGAGAAGCCTTTCTTTCTTTCTTTTTTTTAAAAATTTTTTTAGAGTTTTTTGCTATCGGGCACATGCGCTCTCCAGAAAGACAGAGACAGAGAGATAGATAGCGAGAAATCACCCTCCAGGGGAGATGGCCATGCTGCAATCCCTTCTCCTCCATTCTCCTTTCGGGATCTTGGACACTTCGCACACATGCCAGCATGAGTTTAAGCCACTGGGCCTGGGACTCGAACCGCGGTCAGCTACATGGGAGTTCAGTGACGTAGCAATTACACTAACTGCTGATCCTTTCTTTCCTTCCTGTGACTTGCCTACCTACCAGTGAAGAGATTATGCAGATTGGCACTGGCCATTCGCCATGCCATATTGTATCTTCTTAGAAAAAAATGTTTCTTGGGAAGCATGAACCTAACTCATTTCTTTCCCAACGCTTCTTGACCTTTTCACTCAGATCAAGTGGAACTCATTCCTTTCGTCTTCCTTCACATTATTAAGACCTACTTATATTAAAGTAATCCTGTATTTATGCTAATTTCATTGTGAAGCGGATTGTCAACCCAAGCCACTTTCTTAAAGCAATGAAATGTGTCCTCAGTGGTATCCTCAGAGGGTCCTGTGGCATTCAAGTTTTTCCTCAGATGATGAGAAGTCATTTCCATGAAAGACTTTAGTTTCCCAGAATGTCCCATCCTTCTCATCAGACCTCATCTAAGAAAAGAGGTTCTGAAGAATTAGGCCAGAACTCATTCGAAGAATCAAAGCCGTTTCTAATTAGGCTGTTGAAATCGTTTAACAAAAGTGGAGAGTAACTTACACTAGATAGCTGAAGAAGTCTGAAAAATGTCTGGATATGGGATATATTTTGAATGTAAAGCAAACTATCCATGAAACTGTGCTAGTTGTTCCTGTGCTCTCTGTTTTTCTCTTTTGTAGTTTCGCTATTCAAATTGGCTCGATAGGCTGTATATGGTGGTAGGAACTTTGGCTGCCATGGCCCATGGAGCTGCCCTCCCTCTCATGATGTTGGTCTTTGGAGAAATGACGGATAGCTTCGCAAATCCGGGGAAGTACAGTAAGTATTCTGTATACTGATTTTACTGGGAGCTTGCAGAGAAACCAGTCATTTAGTGTGATGTTTGTGAAGTCCTTACTAAATATATAACATGTGTTTAGTGCCATAGAAGGTGGAGGGTCTGAACAATAGTTCATATTTGTTTTGAGTTTTGGAAGATGTTAGAAATATCAGAATACACAATGGAAATGTTGCAGAGATATGTAGAAAAAGAGAGAACTCTACAATAAAGTGAGATATAGCCTAGAAAGCTTCCAGAAGAAATAAAGAAAACTAAGCAGAACCTCCAATGATAAGTAGGAATCAGTTACGGGATTCCCTGACAGATTGAATATAGGTATAAAAATTGAGGATCATGGTAAAGTTTTTAGCCTGAAAAACTAGAAAGATACAGTTACTTTCAATGGAGCTGAGAAAGGTGGAGGGAGAGTAAAGTTGGGCAGTAAATTCCAGAAATTTAGTTTTGGACTTGTCATGGGTTTAGCTTTCTGGTAGCAGAAATAGGAATGGAAAAATGGAGCCAAGGAAAGTTGTGTAAGAGTGTATGTGTGTGTGTGTGTGTGTGTATTTTACAGTTGGAGAAATAATAGTTGTTTGTGTTTTAATGTGTTACCCGTCTCTAAAACCCTACTTTCACTGCATTTTAATTTGGAGGTTTGAGGAATTTCTTAATATTTTGATTTCCTTTTTTAAAAGATTATTGATTTCTTCCATGAGTGTATAACAAAGAGAAAGCACCTGCAACGGGTCTTGATACTGACTCCATCCCCAGCTCTGTTTCCTGGAGAAACCTGAGCCTGGTGCTCTCAGGGAGGTCTCCCAGTGCAAGCTGGGAACCTTCCCATGTGGGTTCGTCTTGCACAATGCTACAGTTTACTTCTGTGCCACTTTCTGGTCCCCTGATTTCTTCACCTGTGAAAAACTTGAGTAACTATAGAACCTACGTCATAGGACAGATATGACAATGAAATGGATTCATTGATTTCAGACTCACGGAACAGAGCCTCGTCAAAAAACAATGTTAAAGGCATGTTGGTTACGATTATCAACAGGAAACTAAGGGGTCCGTGTTCCTCACACGTGAACCTGTGTAACTTGCATGATGCTGTGGTTACATTTTTATGATACTACAATACCACTTTAATTTTCATTTGCTGAAAACTTTGGACATAACCAGAGTTACCCATGAATAATCATCCCTTTAAGTAGAATTTACTTAGCGAATAGGTCAACAGTCATGCCTTTCTGGGAAGGTAGACATTTTCACATATTGCCCATTGACCTAATTTGGCCTACTCCCTCTTTTTATATAGCCTGTGACCTAAGATTCGTTTTTACAGTTTTAAATCATTTTAAGAAATGAAAGTATAAATAATATTTTGCAACACATAAAAATTATATGAAATTTAAAAAAATTATATGAAATGTAAATTTCATATCTATAAACAAAATATTGATGAAACACGGCTGATCTACTTTTTTGCATATCAGCTGTGGCTGTTTGCATGCCTCAGAGCACAGTGCAGTAGTTATACTATAGACCATATGGTCTGCATAGCTCTGAATATTTACCCTCTGGTGTTTATAGAAAACAGTCACTGATCTCTGGGTTACGGTATTGAGTGAAGGGTTATGAGATTCAATCCATCAGTGAATTTGTATCAAAGCATTCTGTGTGCCAGCCCTAGTACGTGCCCTGTTCATGCCCACCTCTCAAGAGCTTAAGTGAAAGGACTGGACAGGTGAACCAACAAATGCAATTGGATACGATTAGTGCTGTGATACAGAAATATACAAAAGGCTTTGGGAAAGGACAGAAAGGTACCTGACTCTGTATATAAGAATCAAGGGAGGTTTCCAATAGGAGGTGATAATTAAGTTTGGTCAGCATCTCTCTCCTCCATAAAATGCACGTGTTTTCTGTAAGAAGCGAAATCATTTTTGTAATTGCCAGAGGGTGCATGTGTCCACCAGAGGTAGAAAAACAGAGAGGAAGAGAAGCATCCCCCAAGGGATGTGGTCTCAACACACTCATTTCTCCATTTTTCTATCCTTTTAGGATTTGGGGCACATAGACCTGGTGTGTTTTTCTCTGGGGCTGGGATTTGAACCACAGTTGGC